TCCTCCTTCCTTTTCCTTTATTTTATTTTATTTTATTTTATTTTTAAAAAGGTGACATTTTGTTCTCTTAAATCTTAAAACCTCAACGAAAAAACAAATAAATGTTGAATCATATATATATATTTACATTTAGTGTAAATATTTGCCACCCACAGCCAGGGAAGAGTAGGAAGTACAGCACCTGCTATCAAACTCATACGTAAAACTCGATTTATTCACCATTCATAGATATTAAAATTCAGTTAAATTATGTTAAATTTGCTAATTGCGGTCGCCCTCCGACAGTGAGTGTCAACATGTCCGAATGTATTTACGACATGAAATAAAAGCTTCTCATAAAAGACCCATCAGCTGTTCAGAGGCGGCTTAGTATAAGCTGTAGGTCCCTCCAGTTTTGTTGGAAAAACATCAAGACGCAAAATCTCAAATTGTAGGAGGAGCTCGGTTAAAATATATATATAGATATTAAAAATTTTGTTGTTAGATTTGCTTTCTAGCCCACCAGATTAAACTGAAAATTTGTCAGTTTCTTCGTAGAGAGTTTTGTAAGAAAGAATTCCGAAGAAGTGGAGCAGGGATCGACTGATATAATAGTTTATATTAAATAACGCATAGACAGTTGACCAACAAAGTTTTCAGTATAAAAGAAGCATAGAAAGGTATATCTAAAAATAAATTCCACAAGTCTCATTTACAGAACGACGATAAGTCAACTGCCTTTGGTCCTTAACGGTGTACTTAATTAACGCCTAATTTGGTTTTGAATATGGAAATCTAAATCAAAGTAGAGATTAAAATGGCATAGAGAATGGCAAACTTCACTCTTTGCTAAACATAAAGTTGTTCTCATATTTCATAACCATTTCTCTCCAAGGGTTCTATGAAATTTCCAACAAATTTAGCAGTTAAATAGCAATACGCCCAGTCATCCATTAACTGGAAGCATTTTAGAGATTTTCATTTTCTTGTAGCAATTTTTATTTTACTTTTACTTTTAAAAATATCACAACTAAGCAAACTGCGTAATATTTGCCACTGGAATGAGCTCAAAGAATTCCAAGAAAGAAAAGTAGAAAGTGAGAAATTGTTTCTGTTTCCACCAGACTTTACTCAGCTGAGTAGTATGTAAAGGGAAAATGACTTAATTTCTTCCCTTTTGTTTGCCACACAAAGTCAAGTGAGCAGGCTAAACAAGCAAAAAAAAAAGTATATAAATAACAAGCAGAGGCGGGGAGAAAGTAAAAGAAGGCGTTAGTTGAAATTGTTATGCAGTGACTCCTCTATTTTTCAAGGAAAATTTAAACTAATAACTTTATCAGCAGGTGTTTTGATGTGCGGAGTCTGGTAAAAAGTAATACAAAATTTTGCACTAAATTGAAGGCTTCAATTACCATAGTCGGAGGTATTCGATTTACAATAAAGTCAGATAGTGATAATGATATCCAGCATTTTTTTCGTTATACACGTTTTGGTTCATCATAAATTCATTCCAACGGTCAATAGAGAGTAGTATTTGAGCGTTATGAGGCGTTTTCGCGAAAACATACGTCATAAACGGACGGAATTGTGAGCCAGCAATTCATGGATTTTTCATGACAATAATGCACAGAGCTTAAGATTGACATTGAGACCAAAAACTCGTTCAATACCATCGCATTCACTGGATTTAGTTGGAACCTTTTTCGATTCTATTGAGGCCGTAAAAGAAAATACGCAGAGGTAACTGAGATCGACTGACAGCTGCTGCAAGCACACTGGGTAACAGGACGGTGCTACCAACTTAACGAAAAAAAGTACTGAAAAATATTCGGGCAGTTTAAATGACTACTTCCGGAAACTTTCTGGTCCTAAATTAAGCCTCTCTCAATGAAACCATTATCCCTATCGGAATTGGGCCAATTAATCTTTATCAGCCGAATCATTCGCCATTGATTGGAACAGTTGGTAGTCACTTAGTGTGCGGTCCGGAAGAACCTGCCAACCAAACTCTCGATGTTTCTGATAAGTTTGGTGATCTAAAAATTAAACAAAATACCTCTTCTGTTGGCTGGACGCTTCTTAGCGATTACTTCCTTCAGACGGTGAAATTACTGACAAGTTTGAGAGTTTGGCCGTAGAAGTGCAGTTTTTAGGTCATTACAAATAAAGTTGAGTTAAAGATTTTTATTCCAAAGAAAATCTGTATGGGAAGTGATACCGCATTGCTTAAACCAAAAGTCCTTCACATCAACATTCGCTGATTTGGACACGAAAATGTCATTAAATATGGCTCGATAGTGATTACAACGTATTAACCGGCTTCAATTTTTAAGATAATGATTTTCTCGTCGCATAGAGCATACCAAACAATAACTTTTTGGGGATGTAATGGCGTTGGAATAATGGCTTATCGGCTACCTTTACTCGGATTGTGCATGGTTTGTTTATTACCGCACCTATTCACCCATAAGTGAGCTTCAACGCGGAACGATTTTCTTGTGAAAATCGGTATCGGTGGCCATCTCGCTTTGGGAGCAAGTCCCGAATGTGCGACGCCCTATAAGTCTTGCACGAGTTGGATTTTTGTAAGCCCACATAATAAGATTCTTCCGCAAAATTTTCCATAAAGTGGATGGACACAGCTCCACATTTTTGCGCATTTTTGCGGATGGACTGCTTCAGGTCTGCTTCGATACTCGGCTGCACATCAGTAATTGAAAACCAAACGTCAGAAAAAAACTCCCTTTATAATACAAATGAAAAATGTTACTTGAGCACCAAATGTCATCACATCAACGCATATGAGCAACAACATAAACACATATATACATACATCCACATATGTAAATGAAAAAATAATAAATCGGTCGCGTTTCAATCTCAGCTGTGTAGCTATTCAATAGTTCATTTATCTTGTTTTACGGTATTGGCACAGCAGTCTGACAATAGATTGACAGACATATTTTCGTTGCTTTCACTCTTCAGTGTGAATCTAGCTGTCTAGCTTTAAAAACTTTAATTTTTTTCAATGAATGTGAAATGAATAAAACGGTGAACGAACGTCGTTCCACGATCCGCACTAAAGCTAGATTTTGTTTAACATATCGTTGATTTGGGTCCATGCCCCGACGGATGGAAGGATGATTAGTCCAAAGATTTATTATACGAGCAATAATCGGCACTGTCCTCACACGCTGTTGTATCAGACTTAGTGATTTTCCCGCCAGATTGTGAAAAGAAGCTATTTTTGGTACAACAGTCAGAAAAATCAGCGTCAATGACAAGACTTGCTCGAATGCACTGAGGGTGATCGACTTAGTTGGGATTACAAATATGATGGTCTGTGGTATGAGAATCCATTGGGTTAAGCCATATCAAAAAACTCGTATTCAAATTGAAAATTTTGTCCGAAGATAAAACATTGACTTGGACTACAACCTTGTGGCTGCTGGCCGACAGAGATAGAACCCGAAAAATGGAGCATACTTATGTGGGAGCGATGGAGATAATTTGGTAATCGGTTTTCCAGACCTGATGCTGACCTTAGATAGATATATTAGTAAGTAGGATATACACCGCGGCCAATGGTCTATTGTGCCTTCCGCTTTCTTCACATTAGTTCAACCAGACCTAATGCCATTGTAAAACTAATCAGGCTTGAGGAGCTGACTGAAAGGGAAAGAATGGCTTAGGTCCTATAAGAGAGATTGAGGCAGTTTATTTTGCTATCTGCTATTTAGATTCCTTCACCAGACCATGATTTATATCCAGGAAGAAAGAAAAGTGAAAAAAGAATCGCCACCACCTTGTTCATCGCTTTTAAAGTGGACGTCGATATCACGAAAAGGGGCCACCTCTATGACATTATTTCGGAATTTGGTACTTCCTCAAAACTTATACGGCTGTGTAAAGAGACGAAGTGTAAGACTTTGATAAGAAATTCTCTATACTGTACAGCTCCAAACGAAGCTTCAGATAAGGGGTTTCCTTATTGTGCGATTTTTTTAATTTATTGCTGAAGAAAGTATTATCGACAGCTGCTGGCGTACGTCGATGATATTGATCATTGCCTTCCACAACGCCGTTTTAAGATATTTTTTCCCAAAATATTTAATGGATGTGACGAAGAAAATGGGTCTGGTACCACGAATTTTAAATGAGGCCCAAAAAGAGGCTCGAGTGCATTTTACGCAATTTTTCCTAAATAAATTCGAAAATGGTCGGTATAGCAACTTTATTAAAGTCGTTACTGGTGATGGATCTTGGTTTTATAGGTACGAACCAGGAACCCTAGGCTTAAGAAATACACTTAAGCTTAATGGCGATTTAGATGGAAAGATTAAAAGGACAAAAATTATGAATAAATAGAAAAAAACCCAACTTTTGTTGATCCCGTCGAGAAGAAAAAAATTGAAGAAAAAATTTCCACTAGTGCAGCTTCTTATTCCCCTGAGAAATGAAAAATAATGTGAAACTGTTTAAATTTTGCCGCAATAACAACAACAAAACCAGCAAAGATTAAGTTTATTACTGCTCAACGAATCGTGTCAAAGCGATAGTGATGACTTTTTGCGAGTATAGAGTCTTTTGTACAAAATAACCATTGTGATAAGGCTGGTTGCAAACTTTATGACCAAATATGGGCAAATATAAATACGAAATGAATTATCAACAGGCTTTTTAAAGCTTACATGACACACATACACACTCACATACACATACACACACTATTTTAGTACACAGCTTCACTTTTTTCCCTTGCATGGACAATTATTGGTTTATCTGAATTTGGCAAAATGCCAGTAAGCTTTTTAACGCTCCGAGTCTAGTTTTTTTTGTTTTCGAATTTTCGAATTACGAAGTGATAAAAAAATGTTTTGAATTGAGAGTAATTTGTTTTCTGCTTCTGGTGCTTTGTTGGAGTGCTGTGATTGTTTCATCGGTTTAACGCTACTGCAAATTAAGAAAAAACTAATTTTTTCGAGCAAATTTCATATGCAAATTCGTAGAAAGCTACTTACCACGAATGTTGTTCATAATGGAAGTCCATTAACTGGAAATAAAATAAAGAAATAAACGTACTTCACTTTTTTATAAAACTCTTGTATTTGTTTTGACATTTTTATAATGTTTTTTTATGAACCTTACATAAAGTCTCTAAGTAAGAGTCGGCTATAAATAATTAAGACTTTTATGAATTAATTTAAACTGCAATTTTTGAAGGCATTGATCAGACCTTTAGTTAAATAATAATTATGCTGTAAATATATTTCAAATCTAAATTCCAAATGAAAACAGAAAGGACGAGCTGTCTACGGTCATGCCGGGGTTTTCATACCTTTTATGACTATATCAAATTTATATATCAATTCTCACATATCAGAACTTGGTTGTAGGTGTTTGTTTGATTTTCTCTTGTCTTCTTCTTCTGGTGCTGTACTCGTATATACGTGTGTAGTTAGTTAGCTCACAAGCAGACGGAGAGACGGAGAGACAAACAGACAGACAGACAGACAGACAGACGAATATGACTAAATCGATTCAACTCATCATTCAAATCTGATCATAAATTTCGTCCTTCATCTTTTCAATGTAACGGTACCACATCAAAAATGGTAGAAAAAATCAAATCAAATGTAGAGAAAATCATCACGAACTCTCAATTAAATGTAATACTATGTTCTGGGTACATGGACACAGTGGCATCCCAGACGAACAGACAATAAGACATGCACTCAATGTTGGTATACCACTTTCTACGGTAAAGTATAGGCTAAAGCTGGCGATATCACTTTCGGCCTATTGGCCTAAGTGAGCTGGTAGCGACCAGCAGCCGCATCAACTCAACTCATGTATATTATATATCGGCAGGGAATGTCCAACCATCAGTCGTTCGGAGGCGACTTGGTATAAACTGTAGGTCCCTTCGTATGTTGGAAAGACATCAAGACAAAAAACCACTAATTGAAGCTCCTCGGTCGAAAAAAAATCGCTTCAGCGGTTACAAATGGCCAATCTCTTCAAAGTGGATAAAGTATTTGCATACTGTTAATCAAATACATTAACGTATTGCCGATTCTCCATCTTTAAATATAAAAAAAACGAATTTTTGGCGTCAATACTTGACAATAGATGGAATCAAAGGGAATGTTATATTAGTAAATGTCAACTAATGAGCCTTATCTAAATCATCCGAAAGCACATGTTACAAGTCATTTTAAACAAGGCGAAACTACATAAACTTAACTTCGCCCTGCGTCCACATCCACAGTGTTTGACATATTTGCCTATCATCAGTGATTACTGGCTGTTTGAAGACCATAAAAAAATGCTTACCGGTAAGAAAATTCGTTCGAATAAAGAGTTTCTTGCCACGGCTGATACCTATTTTGAGTCAAAAATAAATCAATCGACAAAAGTGATACTGAAATGCTAGAGGGCCGCTGAAATTATGATTAAAAAATAAAACAAAAAGTTTTTCTTGTAATAATTTGCAATTAAAGAATTCTTCCCCCATTGAAGTTTCCAAAACTGCAAAGTTGTAATAATTTCTTGAACTATGCTCATACAATTGAGATAAAATTCACAACTAAATTTTTCGTTCAATTCTTGTACTTTTGTTACTCATACGCAGTGTAGTGCCGAGCAAACACACACACTCATGAGAAACAATTTGGCTGAGTAATTAAGAAATAACAAGTCAAGTACAATACTATAAATAAAATAGATATTGATTTTGTGAATAATTTTATAAGTTTTTGAATATAAAAATAAAACATAAATTTTTTTAGATAAAAAATTATAATTTAATAAAAAAATCATAAATTTTTAAAGAAAAAAATATTTTAAAGCACCAACAAATAATTCTAAAATGTACCGTGGGTTAAAGTGCCACGCAATAAAGCGCCACTCAGTTAAGTGAATCAACATAAGTAAAATTATGATTATAAACAAATTATGTAAACAAAACACCCACGGAAGAAGAAAAAACAAAAGAATTCTCAAAACAAAAAAAAAGTATTTATTTATATCAATATTTACGTAATCTATATAAACACTCTATCGATAATGTGCAAAATCTTTTTTAGGTGGTGGCGTAGTATAAGACAGTTGAGATGCGTTTTGTTTTTTTTTCGGCGAACTTTTGCTATTATAAACTCTGCATGTTTGTGTACACACAGGTGCTTCAAGTATAAGTCAAAAAGCTAATTAAATTGCTATAAGACGCAGAATTACATATTTACTTCACTCTCACTTTTTTTTTTTTTTTTTTGAAATAACCAAACTTCATGATGGCAACTAGCAACTGCGCATAATAGTAATTTGAGGTTAAAAAATGCGAAAATAAACTATTTTGGTTTTGTTTACATAATTTTTTATTTATTTTGTTTATTTTTGCTACCAGTAGACACTGCCATTTCCAATAGGCAGAATACACTCAGGCTCGAAGTATTCAACTACAGTCGGCAAAGTAGCTGTTGAATGCACCTTGCCAGTTCTTCGTCACCCTATATGGATAGCTTGGCCGGCAATCCATCGGCGGCCGCCGCTTTGTTACTCCCACGCTTGAGTTTCTTCAGAGACAAGCAATGGAAAATATGCTCCGTAGTAATCTATTAGATGCTTGGAATCGCCATTTCCTACTGCTTTTCAGCAACCTGCTGTAGTTTTCCCTCTATAATTCAGTATGTGTAATATTGGTCTTCCAACCATCGGTAAGTCGCTGTATTTTTCATAGATTTTTTAAGCGCTACCACAGCGTGTTCTTAAGCCTTTTATACACACTAATTTTGTCCTTATTCATTTTCTGTTGCGCCAAATGCCTACTGCTTCCTTGTTTTATAAATAAAAATCCTAATTGAGTCCCTCAAACTCACATATATATGCACGTACATTAATATACAGGTATACATGTATACATCTAACCACAAAGCAACCCATTGGGAAATCAAAACGCAATGCTAAATGATAAAAACATGTTTATATGCAAAGAACCAATAAAACCACTCCTCGCACGCAATTTATACGAATATAGAACTTCTGCTTACATACAAATATATGTATATATATGCCACTGCGTATGTGGTATGCATACCAAAAAGGTTTCGAAATTAATGGCAAATTGAATTGGTGCACAAAACCAATCACACATTGCTTCCCCAGGGCCTAAATGACAGCTGACAAGAAGCAGCACTTTCCTGCGGTGCATAAATAATGTACGCAGGGCACATACTTATTTATACGTATTGCTTTCGTATATAAAGAGGAAAGTGTTAACTTAGTAAATTGTATATATGTTTGAGTTTTCTCATATTTATTTTTGGGTAAATCTCAAACTTTTGTTCCAAACTAATATCAGTTTTAGTAGGAATAACTTTTATTTAAATTAATAAATATTTAATTACAATAAAACTTATTTCTTTCGGTATTTTCACTCTTCTAATACTTTAGTTTTTCACAGAAATTTTATAACTAGTTATAATAGTTTGAGATTAAAAAAAAAAATGTTTACCTAACTCCAGCTCAGAAATCGTTGTGACTGTTAGGTAATTTATAAGTAGCCCACTTTTCTAATATACATTTTAAATGTATAATACATCTTTTGGAAGAATTCTTATGAAATTTGACCAACAAAAGCATTTCTCTATTCTGACAACCAATTTAGATAACGTTGTCCGAGGCCTTGCCATCTGTATCGAATCATCAAAGAATTAACCCTGGTTAGTCTTAAAAGCCTTTTCAATTTGCGATTTGGCAAAAATTCAGTATGCAATAATGACAATTCACTTTTTTCCGCAATAATTGAAATGAATAAAAAGTGCTATGGTGAATACAAATTCTCCTTACTCTCCTTTGGGGTCACCAGCTTTGTGCGTTAGTCATGACAGTACCGTTATTGTGTTTATTACGCTTTGTCATGTTAGTATTAATGCGTGCCAGTTAGTTATTGATTTTGAGCTTGTTTAATGTAATCGACATCTTTTGACTAGGACGAGCTTTCGTCAGAATTTTTCTTTTGTGAAATAAAAAATTGTGCCACAGGAAAAGTTCATTATTTGATGATTTGAGGAAACAATGGCTTAAAATCGTCAGCAATTTTTTGTAAACTATATTGGACAGTTTTTCAAAAATAAAGAAATTTTTGAAACTGAGTTTTTTTCCTTTTCATCCAATAAAAAAAATATTTTTGGCTTTTACTGAATATTTTATTGCTTACAACATACTTGCATCCTATCAGCAATATCTGATTGATTATTACACAGTTTGTTCAATTATGTTTTGGTTATTCAGTAGGGACTACCCACATGAACAATTGAAAATTATTAGCTTCAACATATGTATGTATATAGCGGCCACAATAGCCGAGTAGTTAGCATTGCGTAGTGAAATTCTGAAAAATGGAAAAACATCAAGCCACCAACTACAAATTGGAGAAGGAGTTTGGTCGAAAATTATTGTACCTCAGTGGTTACATAACGAAAATTTTATAATTATATTTGGCAATTTACTTGTCCAGCGCGCGCATATATGCTGTACACCGTTGCGTATGAGTGACATTTTCAATAGCCGCTGACTGGAGGGTTTTACTGGTGGGAGATCAATTAAAAGCGTATTCGGAAAAATTTTGCGGAATTTAAAATTAATTGCAACTGCCAATTGACGCGCCATGCGTTTAATTGCTTTATTTAACGATATAACAGTATTTTATTGCCGGTAGAATGTATTTTGGATAAGACGAGTCATTTAATATGAAATGAATATGCAAATCTTATTTTCAAAATAAATATATATACGCAAGTATAATTAAAATAATAATTTGAAAAACACAAAACTACAAAAATATTTAAATACACAATTTTTTTATATTTAAAATTTTTAATGGTCAGTGAGGGACTCTATACTTTTTTTGGCATTTTGGTGTGCGAACCTTGATATTTTGGCAATTTCTTTGGCTGCAAATACAAGTCTAGAACAAACTTTAGAATATTTTTTTTAATTTTCGCCCAAATATAATTTTTATAGCTATAGTAAATGAAAAAAGTTTTTTATGCT